TTTTTTGGTTTTTTTTTTTTTTTTTGAGACAGGGTTTCCCTGTGTAACAGTCCTAGCTGTCCTGGAACTAGCTCTTGTAGACCAGGCTGGCCTCGAACTCACAGGGAGTGCTGGGATTAAAGGCATGCGCCACCACAGCCCAGCCCTGTTTTGTTATACATAATTTTACTATGTTAAAGTTAAAGCATTCCTTTTTGTTTAAACATAAAAGGGGAAATGGTGTAGGAGGTCCTTCTGTCTGTGTGTTGCTTTTATTGGTTAATGAATAAAGAATTGCTTTGAACCTATGGCAGGGAAGAACAGAACTAGGTGGGGAAAGCTAGGCTGTATGTTAGGAGAAAGAAGGGCAGAGTCAAAGAGAAGCCATGGAGCCACCACCTGAGACAGATGCTGGGAACTTTAGCTGGTAAGTCACTGCCATGTGGTGATACACAGATTAATAGAAATGGATTAAATTAATATAAGAGTTAGCTAATAAGAACTAAAACTAATGGGCCAAGCAGTGATTTAATTAATACAGTTTCTGTGTGATTATTTTAGGTCTAAGCTAACTGGGTGGCCGGGAACCAACAAGCAGCCCCCCTCCAACATCAGAGGACAAATTTTGGGAGTCAGTTCTCTCCTTCGATCATGGGGGTTCCAGGAATTGATCTCAAGTCATCATGTTTGGCATCAGGCACCTTTATCCACCCCACCGAGCTGTCTTTGCTACCCCAGGACAGGACTCTTGAACAAGAACATCAAATTGAGTTGATGAGTTGGAGAAGAAGCAATCTTTATTAAGGATGTGAGCATTTCAGGAGGGAAAAGCAGTTACAAAAACTCTAAAGCCTGGACTTTGTGATAATTGGGATAAAATGCTTATCTTGGTTTTGTGGTGTTGGGGATTGAACATCAGGGACTAAGCACATATTAAATAGCACTTGTGTTGAGTTATAACCTCAGGTTCTGTGATTGGTTTTTGTTTGTTTGGTGGTTTTGGTTTGGTTTGGTTTCGTTTGGTTTTGGTTTTTCGAGACAGGGTTTCTCTGTGTAATAGCCCTGGCTGTCCCAGAACTCATTTTGTAGACCAAGCTGACCTCAAACTCACAGAGATCTGTCTGCCTCTCCTCCTGAGTACTGGGAGTAAAGGCGTGTGCCACCGCCGCCTGGCTCGATGATAAACTGTGGGAGAAATAAACCGTCTCTCTCTCTCTCAGGTTGCTTTGGTTGTGGTGTCTCATCACAGCGATCGTAACCCTCACTAAGACAGTCATCCCCTGTTATCCCACTTCACAAATGGGAAGAGCAACTGGAGGAGGCTGAAAGCAGCGGTGACATGCTGCAGCAGGAAAGCCCAAAGCCTCTGCTCTAAGTTAGGTTGTTCCTCTCAGTAAAGCCTCCCTCGCCTAGCCAAGGCATCACTGCAAGGCGCAGAGGGACTGACTGAAGGCGGAAGAGAAATAAAAACTACCTGTAGCTTTGGCTGACCTGTCTAACTCCACTCTGGTCTGAAAAAGACATTGTCTCAAGGCTGAGGGAAAGAAGCTAAAAAGAGGGAATGTTTTTGACTCCCTGCTGGTGTGGAGTACCTAGAATCCTTCTTTAAAATCTTGGAGACATTTAAAACATACATTTGAGGCATTGGCAGTGGTGGCACACACCTTTACTCTCAGGCAGAGGCAGGCAGATCTCCGAGTTCAAGGCCAGCCTGGTCTACAGAGTGAGTTCCAGGACAGCCAGGCTACACAGAGAAACCTGTCCCAAAAAACCAAAGAGAGAGAGAGGAGAAGAGATGAGATACATCATTCATCAGTTAGCATGAAAAAAAAAATGAGCCTCTGGTTAAAAAAAAAAACTATTTTCAAAAATATTGTTAAGCTCAGCCTAGTGGTGCATGCTTTAATTCCAATGTTCAGTAGAGACAGGGGGATCTCTGTGAGTATGAAACCAGCTTGGTCTATGTGCCAATTTTGAAGGCAGCCAGGGCTACATAGTGAGGCCTTGCCTTAAGAGAGACAGAGAGAAGGAAGATAGCAAAAAAGAACCACCCAACACTGAAAAACAAACAAACAAACAGAAAAGGTTATTAAAATATGGCTGGCCTAAGCATAATTTCATCAGACCCCAGAGCTACATCCTAGGGATGAGTGAATGTGAAACCCTCACGTGCACCGCACGCCAGGCACACAGTACCAGGACTAGGCCCCTGCTTTACTCCTGCATGATCTCTGCATGTCACATGCCCGCATTGGTTCTGCTTTCCTTTCTGTTGTGAAAATAATCAGACGAAAGGCAAGTTAGGGGAGGAAAGGGTTTACTAGGCTTTCGCTTCCAGGGCACTGCCCATCACTGAGGGAAGTCAGGGCGGCAAGAACTCAGGCGGGAGTGTGAAGCAGGAGCCACAGAGGAATGCTGTTTGCTGTCTCGCTTCAGCTACCTTTCCGACATGTTTGAGACAGGCTTTAATTATGTAGACCAGGCTGGCCTCAAACCCAGAGAAATCTGCCTGCCTCTACCTCCGAAGTGCTGAGATTAAAGACATTAAAGACACCAAAACAGGTTTTCCTATTTATACAAGGCCACTTTCCAAGGGGATGGTACCACCCATATTGGGCCAGGTTCTTCCTACTCATTTATCAAGACAAACCCCCACTGCCTTGTTGGCAGGACAGTTTTATCTAGGGTATTGCTCAATAGAGGCTTTCCTTCTCAGATGACTGTTATAGGCTGTGCCAAATTTAACCAGGGGACTGGAGAGACTGCACAGTGCTTACGATTGTTTACTGAGCTTCCAGATGACCTGCCTTTGGTCTCTAGCGCCCACAGCAGACGGCTTACAACTGCCTATATTAATTGCAGCTTCAGGGGACCCGACACTCTCTTCTGGTCTCTGGGATTACCAGAATACACATGACATATACACAAACAGACACATAAATTTTTTTAAAAAGATGTATTTGTTTATTACATACATAGTGTTCTGTCTGCAAGATTGTGGGCACACCAGAAGGCACCAGATCTCATTACAGATGGCTGTGAGGCACCGTGTGATTGTTTGGAATTGAACTCAGGACCTCTGGAAGAGCAGTCAATGCTCTTAACCTCTAGGCATTTCTCCAGTCCCTACATAATTTTTTTTAACAAGTTAACTAGGGCATTATTAGAACCTCTTTCTTAAAATGGGGACTGCAGCAGCCATGTCAAAGAGCTCTGGTGAAACAAGTGAGACCTCAGCAATTGTTGAATAAGGCCTACTCTTAAGGTCTCGCAAAGCCCAGGCCGGCCCTGAACTTACAAAGAATGACCTCAAACTTCTGATCTTCACACCTGCAACTCCCAAGTGCTGGGATTACAGGCATGTTCTACCTGCCACATACCCAATTAATGTAGGCTCTAAGGCTGAAATCCATAGCTTCAAGTACGCTAGGCAAACACTCTACCACAATATCTTACTGTAATGCATATTAAAACCTTCAGCCTGATGCCTGGTGGTGGTGGGCAGTGGTGGGTGGTGGCGCAGGCCTTTAATACCAGCACTCCAGAGACAGAGGCAGGCAGATCTTTGAGTTCAAATCCAGCCTGGTCTTCAGGGCGAGTTCCAGGCAGTCAGGACTACACAGAGAAACCCTGTCTTGAAAACAAACAAACAGGGGCTGGAGAGATGGCTCAGTGGTTAAGAGCATTGCCTGCTCTTCCAAAGGTCCTGAGTTCAATTACCGGCAACCACATGGTGGCTCACAACCATCTGTAATAAGGTGCCCTCTTCTGGCCTGCAGACATACATACACACAGACAGAATATTGTATACATAATAAATAAATAAATAAACAAATAAACAAATAAATATTTGAAAAAAAAAAGAAAAGAAAACGAACAAACAAAAACCTTCAGCCTGAAGTGGTAGTGCGTATATTTAATTTCAACATTCAGGACGCAGAGATAGGCAGAACTCGTGAGCTCCTGGCCAGACTGGTTTCTGCAGCAAGTTTCAGGACAGCCAAGGCTATGTAGAGAGGCCCAATCTCAATCACTCCCCAAAATACCATCCCTAAAACCAAAGCCGAACTTTCAGAGATGGCATATGGGTAGAATTCTTTCCTGTAAAGCATCCTATCTTGGGTCTCCCCGGTTCACTGTTTGTGGTGGGTGTGGGTGTGCATGTGTGCACACATGCACAAACTTGAGTGTGAGTATGGACATGTAGAGGCAATTACCCACGATCAGCTATGGATCTTTAGGACACATCCATCTTTTTTTTTTTTATAAGGCAGTGTTGCTCACTGGCCTGGAACGCATAAGGCAGGTTATATTAGTTGGCCGGTGAGCCCCAAGAATTTGTCTCTACCTTCCAAACACTGGATCACTACACTGGCTTTTTAAAAAACATGGCTTTTCAAGATCAAACTCAGGCTTTGGTTGCAATCACTTTAGCAAATGAGTTATCTCCCCAGCCTTGTGATCTCTTCACACTTTACAGTCCAAGCACTGACTGGAAACCAGTTACCACCTCGGTGAGGGGGTGGAGGGGGTGGGGGGACACGGGGACAGGACAAACCTAAGTTGGGGAGGGGTGGGGGAAGGGGGAGGGAGGAAACCCAGAAGAGTTAAAATGCATTCTTGTTCTCTTTTAATTGAAAACCCTAAAGAAGCACACCCACTTGGAAACTACTTCCTTAATAATTAATTAGTGAGGAAGGAAAGATTGAAGTGGTAAGCTTAAAAACTGTCAAAAAAGGCCTGCTGACCAACATGGAGGAACTCGGTGGCAGTCGAAAATACTTTTAAGAGGTCTTTCAGGTTTCCTGTAGAAAATAAGAAAGAAACGAACATCAGTTATCCCCCCCCTCCCCCAGGTCTTACAAAGAGCACTAGAAGTTCCTAGTTCTCTCTCCTGCAAGACCAGGTGTCACTCTAGCCCATGGGGATCCGAAACTCACAACAAAGCCCAGGCTGGATGCCTGGGATCCTCCTGCCTCTGCCTCCTGAGGGCAAGGAGAACAGGTCAGAGCCACTAGTCTGTTGTTTTTGTTATTTTTTTTTTTTTAGACAGGGTCTCAAGTAGCCCAGGCTGACCTCAGACTGTGTAACCAAGGACAACCATAAACTTTTGATCCTCCTTCCTCCACCTCCCTCATGCCAAGTGACCAAGGACAACCATAAACTTTTGATCCTCCTTCCTCCACCTCCCTCATGCCAAGATTACTGGTACGTAGTCAGTGCTGGTGACTGACCCTGGGGAGTTATGCACACTGGGAGAACACTGTCAGCTGAGCTGCTTCTCAGCTGCTTCCTTTGTTGTCTCCTGTAGCCCAGGCTAGCCTCAAACAGACTATGTAGCCAATAATCTTGAACTTTTAAAAAATCTTTTAATTATTTAAAAAAAAATTACGAGCCAAGCAGCGGTGGTACATGCCTTTAATCCCAGCACGTGGGAGACAACAGCAGGCAAATTTCTGTGAGTTCGAGACCAGCCTGGTGTACAGAGCTAGTTCCAGGACAGGCTACAAAGCCACAGAGAAACCCTGTCTAGAAAAACAAAACAAAATAATAATAATAAACAAAATAAAAATATTTGTGTTTGCCCAAATATACGTCTGTGTATGAAGTGCGTGCAGTCTCCTCGGAGGCCAGAGTGGGTATTAGATCCTCTCGAATTGGGAGTTACAGATGGATATGAGGCACCGGATGTAGGTGGGGGGAACCAATCCTGTGTCCTCTGAAAGAACAGCAAGTGCTTTTAACTGCTGAGCCACCTCCAGTCTCTGACCTTGAACTTCTGACTCCCTCACCTCTTCCCTAGAGCTGAGAGGAGTACAGGTGTGCACCATCATACCTAGTTTTTGTCTCCTGTTTTTTGTTTTTTTTTTTTAAGATTTATTTATTATGTATAGTCTTCTGCCTGCATGTATGCTTGCAGGCCAGAAGAGGGCACCAGATCTCATTACAGGTGGCATGAGACTGGGAATTGAACTCAGGACCTCTGGAAGAGCAGTCAGTGCTCTTAACCTCTGAGGCATCTCTCCAGCCTTTGTCTCCTGTTTTGTTGTTGTTTTTTTTTTTTTTTTTGTCAACTCGACACATACTAGGGTCATCTGGGAAGACAGAGGTATCAGATTGGCCTGTGGGGGCATTTTCTCAATTAATGGTTGATATGGGAGAGGCCAGCCCACTGTAGGCAGAATCACCAGGGCAAGGGTACTGGGAGATAGAAGAAAGGCAAGTGAACATGGACCTCTAAGGACTGCGCTTCAGTTCCTGCCTTTGGGTCCCAGCCCTGACCTCCTCTTTAAACTGAAAGAAACCCTTTCCTGCCCAAGGTGCTTTGGTCTTGGTCAAGGTGTCTGTCACAGCAATAGAAAGCAAACAAGGAGGAACTGTTTTGTTTGGAGACATCGCCTCACACTGTGTCCCTGTGTGGTTGGCCTCCAACTCCAGCAGTAGTCTCTGGAGCACTGGGATAGCTTATAGGGGTAAGCTGCCCTGACTGCCGGGATAGACTTGAGACTTATTGTGGCATTTCTGAGCGAGGCCTTTCTCACCGAACTGCAAACTGCCAAAGCATAATCTTTCACTAGCAGCCAGGAGACACCTGGGAGGGGTCGGGTACAGTTCCAACTAACGCGGGAAGTCTTGGAAGGGTGTGAGAGATGAACGAACGTGGTGGCACAGACCCGTAATCTCAAGGCTGCAGAGGTTGAGGATTGTCACAAATACCATGCCAGCCTGAACTACACTGGGCCGCATCACTAAAACAACACAGCATGTGACCATGGCCCATGGTTGAAATTTCAGCATTTGGAGGGGATCGGTGGAGGCTGAGGAGTTCCAGGCCAGTTTAGGAGACATGAGACCACTGTGTCAGAAAATAAAAAAATAAAGGCCAGGCAGTGGGGGCGCAAGCCTTTAATCCCAGCACTCGGGAGGCAGAGGCAGATGGATCTCTGTGAGTTTGAGGTCACCCTGGTCTACAGAGTGAGTTCCTGGACAGCCAGGACTACACAGGGAAACCCTGTCTCGAAATACCAGAAAATAAAAATAAAACTATTAAAAAGGAGGGCTGGAGAGATGGCTCAGTGGTTAAGAGCACTGGCTGCTCTTCCAGATGTCCTGAGTTCAATTCCCAGCAACCACAAGGTGGCTCGCAACCATCTATAATTGACTCTGATGTCCTCTTCTGGCCTGCCAGCATACATGTAGAGCATTCATACATAAAATATAAATATAAAAAAAGAAAAGAAAAACCATTTTAAAAAAGAGAGAGAGAAAGAGCTAGGCATTGTTGCACTTGTCTCATCATCCTAGCTCTTGAAAGCTGGCGACGGGGCGATCTGAAGTTCAAGGTAATCCTCCACTACACAGGGAATTCGAGACCAGCTTGAGATAATAGGCGATTCTGCTTCCTACCCCCCACCAACGGGCTCTGCCTGCCCATACCCTCTCAGGGCAGGCGCGTGCGCGGCCGCGGTTGCAGCTGGCGTTGGCGCCGCTTGCGCTGCGCGTTGATCAGGATCTGCACCACCTTGCGCTCGTGGCCGCCGGGCACCGGGTGGTTGGTGCGCAGTTGCTGCTCGCGCCGCGTCCGGCCCTTGCTGCGGCCAGCTCCGGAGGCCGGGAAGTCACGCAGGTAGTAGTAGTCCAGGCAGTCGTACAGCTCGTCGTCGAAGCCCGCAATGGGCAGCGCCTCCGGCGGCGGCGGGCGCACTCGAGCCCGTGGGCGGGAGGCGGAAGGACGAGCTGGCGGGTCCATCACGCCGCTGCGCTCCGCCCGCCGCCGCCGATGGCTGCTCAGGCCGGAAGGCCCCGCCCAATGCTCCTATTGGCTCCGCTCTAGGGGTGAGCCCTGTGACCTCACAGAGGGGCGTGGCTTCCGCCGACGCTTCTTTGTTACCGATTGAAAATCCTAAATGTTGCCGGTGGCGCACGCCTTTAATCCCAGCACTCGGGAGGCAGAGGCGGGTCTCTGTGTAGTTCGAGACCAGCCTGGTCTACAGAGCTAGTTCCAGGACAGGCTCCAAAGCCACAGAGAAACCCTGTCTCGAAAAAAAAAAAAAAATCCTAAGTGTTCCTGTGGGACGGTATTGTTAACTATAAACCTTCAGGTGCTGTTGGTAAAAAAAACCTGAAGGGATGGAACGAGGGAATGTGGCTCAGTGGGTGGAGTGCTTACCTAGCATGAACGAAGCCCTGGGTTCCACCCCAGCACTATATAAATCTAGTGTGGTTGGGTACACCTGTAATTCCAGCACGGAGATAAAAGATGGGGGTCCTTCCGGCCGAATGTATTGGCTAGCTCAGTTTGGGTTTATTTTTGCAAAAGGAAATAGGCTTGCGGAATTACTTTCGCTTGGTTCGTGCGTTTATGTGACATGATTATTGTCTTCAACGTTACTTTTTCATTGTTATAGCCAAATACTGGGCAAGAATCAGTTTAGAAGAGGGTGTGTTTTGGCTCACAGTTTGAGAATACCTACAATCAGATGGGAAGGCATAGTGGACAGGATCATGAGGCTACTTGTTCATACCTGCATTGATCAATCAGGAAGAAAGGGGAATTCTAGCGCCTTGTTCGCTTTCTTCCCCCCCTCCATTTTGAGTCCCCAGCCCAATGGATGGTGTGATCTACATTCAGTGTGGGTTGCCCCTTCTCAAGTCTATAATCTCTGGAAACTTCCTCAACGGATACACCCAAAAGCATGCCTCATAAATTGAGAAGACAGACCGACTGACCATCCCAAGCTGGAACGGAGGGACTGGATAGTTTGTTTTTGTTGTTGTTTTTGGCTTTTCAAGGCAGGGTTCCTCTGTTGTAGCTTTGGAGCCTGTCCTGGAATTAACTCTGTAGACCAGGCTGGCCTCAAACTCAGAGACTCACCTGCCTCTGCTTCCCAAGTGTTGGGATTAGAGGAGTGTGTGCACCACCACAGCCAGCTAAGAGCATTTATTATTCAAACACAAGGACTTGAGTTTGGGTTCCCAGCATGCACATAAAAAGCCAGGTGTGGCTGCATAGGCCTTTCCCCTCACCCAGGTGAGACTCAGCGGGGCTTGCTGGCCAGCCAGTCTAGCCTAAACAGGACAGATTCAGTGAGAGACCCTATCTCCACGGAATAGGAAGAGCAATAGAGGAAAACACTCAACATCCTCCATCACTGTGTGTACGAATGGATGGAACATAAGAGCATGTGTGCATGTATGCGTGTGCTTCCACACACACATACAGAACCAAGCAAGAACAAAAGCCACTTTTATTTTAAAGTAGCTGTTCAAGGGCTAGCAAGACGGCTCAACAGATAGCACTTCTACAGAGATCTGATGACCAGAACTCCATTCCCCAGACCCCACAAGGTGGCAGGAAGGACAGGTGGACATGGACATACTATCTCCCTCTCTCTCTCATTTACTGTGAGTGGTAGTTTGATTTGAATAGCTGGTAACAGTGCTTGGAGAGGTTTAGGAGGTATGGCTTTGGGGATATCGTATCACTGGAAGTGGCTTATTTTTTCGAGATAGGGTTTCTCAGTGTAGGCTCGGGGGTCCTGGTACTCATTCTCTAGACCAGGCTGGCCTCAAACTCATAGAGATCGCCCTGCCTCTGCATCCCAAGTGCTGGGATTAAGGGCATGAGCCACCAATGCCTGGAATAGAAAGGTTTTTTTTTAATTTTTTTTAAATATTTTTTTTATTTATTACATATACAATATTCTGTGTGTATGCCTGCAGGCCAGAAGAGGGCACCAGACCTCATTACAGATGGTTGTGAGCCACCATGTGGTTGCTGGGAATTGAACTCAGGACCTTTGGAAGAGCAGGCAATGCTCTTAACCACTAAGCCATCTCTCCAGCCCAGAAAGTTTTTTTTTTCTTTTTTAAAAAAAAGTATTTTGTTTGAGCTGGGCAGTGGTGGCGCACGCCTTTAATCACAGCACTTGGGAGACAGAGGCAGGAGGATCTCTGTGAGTTCGAGGCCAGTCTGGTCTACAAGAGCTAGTTCCAGGACAGGCTTCAAAGCTACAGAGAAACCCTGTCTCGAAAAACAAACAATAAAAAGAAGAAGAAGATTTAGTTGTTTATGTGTATCAGTGTTTTGCCTGCATGTGTATATGTGTACCACATGCATGCCTGGTACCAGGGGATGGTGACCAAAACACTGATACACATAAATAAATCTTACTTTTTAAATAAATAAAAAAAAAGCCCTACAGACTTTCCTACAGGCAATCTGATGGAAGTATTTTCAAAAATCAGATCCCCTGAAACTGTTAATTATGCATCAAGTCTTCTCGACCCTCCTATTGCTGTGACCCTTTAACACAGTTCCTCATGTTGTGATGACCCAACAATAAAATTATTTCATTGCTACTTCATAACTGTAACTTTGCTACTGTTATGACTTGTAATGTAAACATCTGATATGTAGGATTTATTTTCCTTTCTTTTTTCGTTTTTTTCCAGACAAAATTTCTCTGTGTAGCCATGGCTGTCCTGGAACTCACTTTGTAGGCCAGGCTGGCCTAGATCTCACAGAGATCCACCTGCCTCTGCCTCCCAAGTGCTGGGATTTAAGGCATGCACCACCACCACTATCTGGCATAGAATTTATTTTCACTGCTACAAATTGAACATTATTAAAGCATAGTGATTAATTCTCCAAAAAAAGTATGTATTTATTGTTAAATATTTATTTCCAGTTATAAATAATGAAATTTTGTCTTGAATCATGGTGTAGTATCACGGGTCTTTTTTTTTTGTGTGTGTATACAGTGTTCTGCCTGCATGTATGCCTGCAGGCCAGAAGAGGGCACCAGATCTCATTATTGATGGCTGTAGCCACCATGTGGTTGCTGGGAATTGAACTCAGGAATTAACTCAGCCAGTGGTCTTAACCTCGAAGCCACCTCTCCTGGGTAACAGTCTTAATATAACATCAGTACCTGGGTAGTGACTTTAATTCCAGCTCTTGGGAGGTAGAGATAGGAGGATCTCTATGAGTTCAAGGTCAGCATGGTATACAATGCAAGTTCCAGGACAGCCAGGCTACACAGACAAACCCTATCTCCCAAAGAAACAAAATAAAGAACAAAAAACGAAACCCAGAACAATTTGCTACATTTTGCAACAGTATCTGTAAAATGCCAACTTCAGCCAGGCAGTGGTGGTGCACACCTTTAATCCCAGCACTTGGGAGGCAGAGACAGGTGGACCTCTATGAGTTCAAGGCCAGCCTGGTCCACAGAGCCAGTTCCAGGATGGACTCCGGACTCCAAAGCCACAGAGAAAGCCTGTCTCAAAAAACAAAAACAAAAAAAAAAAAACAAAACAAACAAACAAACACACACACATTAAAAAGCAAAAAGTCAACACCAACATCAGTGTGAAGGTTGAGATTGCTTCTTTCTCACTAGATCAGAAATTCTCGGGGCAGTCTTTGCAAGAGCACAACGGAGATCATTTTCCACAGCGAGCCTCCGTCTGTATTTGGACTTGATAACCAACAAGTTGGAAAACCCTGTCTCACAAAGATATGTTGTTGGAAATGGAAGGAGGAGGCGCAACACGGTCTCAGACAGAACAGGGTAGGACTGCAAACACTTGACCCAGAACCGAGTAAGTGGCAACACAGAGAAGTCAGCTCTCGCTGCTTCGCTGTTAATAAGTCTGACAAATTCCTCTTGTGCCGTCTCAGGGACATCTTCAACTCTGACTGTGAACGGGCTTCTAGCAAGGGCAAATGGGACGGCAGGTAGACTTGGAACGTACCAGGAAATTTCTTCCGCAAGCACGTGCAAGTGCTCTTTCACGGAAATGATCACTGAAGTCCTTCCGGACGGTTTAATGTCATGTTCCTCAAAGAAAGCAGAGAGGGTAGGCAACATGTGTGTTTTATTTTCTTCCAGCTCTTTTTGCCAAAGCCGAAGCTTCATTTGGAATGACTGGATCTTTTCAGACAAATCGAGGCATGTTGCATTTGGTCCTTGCAGTGATAAACTTAATTCGCGCAAGACAACAAAGATGTCAACCAAGTAAGCTATTTTCTGCAATTCACATTGATCACTGAAAAGTGCTACGAACTGTGGTCTTGCTTTCTGACTAAAAAATATTCTGAGCTCATCACGAAGCTCAAAAACACATTTTAAAACGGTTCCTTTGGACAACCACCTCCCTTCGGTGTGAAATAGCAGAGCTTTGTTGGGTGCGTCAAACTCGTTGCACAGTTGTGAAAACAGTCGACTGTTTAACGTGCTCGCCTTGACAAGATTGACAGAACCGACGATGCTTTGCATGACTTCTTTTAAGTCTTGCGGCAGTGTCTTCATTGCTAACGCATGCAGATGAACCATACAGTGAGTTCCGATGACTTCCGGCGACTCGTTCAGGACCAAACGCTGAAATCCAGACTGACATCCTAGCATAGCCGGAGCACCGTCGGTGCAAACCCCACAGACCATTTCCCACGAGAGCTTGTGCTCCTTCAGAAATGAACCAACTCTGTCAAATACATCATGTGCAGTGGCTGTTGTTTCAAGAGGTTTGCAAAAGAGGAATTCATCTTTGAAGTCGCCGTCGTTAATGTACTTCACGTAAACCAGTAACTGGGAACAGTTTGCGATGTCTGTAGATTCATCGAGCTGGATACTGAATATTGGAAGTGGAGCAGATTTAATTTCCTGGATGACCTGGTTAAGAATATCGGCAGACATGTCATTTATTCTTCTGCGGACAGTGTCGTTAGACAGGGAAACAGCGCTCAGCTGCATACCAAATTCCTTTCCGATCAGAACTCGAACACTGTCTTTGGCCGCTGGCAACAGTAAATCCTCAGCAAAGCTGTGAGGCTTCATAGTCCTGGCGATTCTGAGCGCCACCAAGTAGGAAAACTCAACGGCTATGACATTCTGTTTGGGGTATTTGCTGCCAGTGTCAAGCCTGGCTTTCTTGAGCTCATCAGCTTTGCTTCTAAAATAGTTGATATCCTTGTCGGCAAAGCTCAGGTGCTTGCTGTCAAAATGGCGTTTCAGTTTGTTTGGCTTCATAGACTCCGCCGAGAGAACGTCCCCACAAATAACACACTGCGGTTTCTCAACGCCTGCTGTCGTTTTTGAGGTAAAACCATACCGTAAGAATTCTTCACTGTATCTTCTGTTCTTAACCTTCTTCTCTACACGGTCCACTCTTGGGGGATGGCCCTCTAATGAAAATAATACACAACAGTAGCTTTAATAACACAAAAGATGACCAAGTGGTGGTGGCGCACGCCCTTAATCTCAGCACCCAGAGGCAGAGGCAGTTGAATCTCTATGAGTTCAAGGCCAGCCTGGTCTACAAGAGCTAGTTCCAGGACAGCTGTTACACAGAGAAACCCTGTCTTAAAAACAAACAAACAAACAAATAGTTCCCATAATCCATACTTTTTTTCTACAGTAGTTGATAACTTTACAGTACATGATTTGACACTTACCCGGTAATTATAATTCATGAAGTGTTGTTTGCTGCTTTCAACACTGTAGCTGCTTGCGACACATGTGTGCCTGGTCTGCATAACTATATTTTGGCACCAACCCTGTCACATACACCTGCATTTGCACAGGGTGTATGTGATGGGGTCGGCACAATGATGTCATCACTGGTACCCCTATGTGGACTTATCTGCATGTAGGCAGCCCAGCCCGGAGACGACGGCAGAGCAGGGAATCAGTACCAAAGATGATCACAAATATGAATTTCCCATGTCCTAGATGACCCCAAAGGGGTCACGACAACTCGCAGGTTGAGAACAGTCACCCAACAGGGGTGAGGACTATCAATCTCTCTGAGCAGATGATGGGTCACCTACCATTTGCAATTCTGTACTGCCACAACACCTCATTGAAGCCCTCGCAGAGCTTGACGTCACTCTGGTTCTGGGCACACTCCAGAAACTGTTTGATCTCAAGAAAGCAAGGTCCAGGAGACTCCTGGGCCAGCAGCTGGGCTCCCCGGGGCTCCTGCCAAGACACAACATTAGGTACTCCTGAGAAAGTATAGGTGCACACAACAAAAGTAGCATTCACAGACTCTTAGCTGGGGAAACAACTATAAAAAGGTGAAAACTTAGTTATCCATCCAGTAATATGGTAATGAAAACCATTTAAAGGCAGAAAGCAAAACAAAAAACGTTAAGGTTAAAAACCAAAGATACCCTCCAATTCAGAAAACAAACAAATGGCACACCAGGCCATCGGAGTAGGAACGAGGGAGTGGTTCTGCGAAGCTTTGCTCAGTATACACAAGCTATGGACTTCACCCCAACACTGTAAATATAAAATCAATACATTAAAATCTGGCTAGGGAAGCTGGGGATGGCAGTGTACACCTTTAATCCCTGCACTCAGGAGGCAGAGGCAGGCAGGTCTCTGACTAAGAGTACCTTTACAAAGCCAGGTCCAGGACAGCCTACACAAAGAAATTGTGTCTTGGAAAACAACAACAACAAAAACACAAAACCAAAACAACAAACCAGGGTAGGAATCCAATAATAAGTCTGTCTAGTTTACCTTGGGTTTGAACCCCAGAATCACAAATAGAAACACAAAAAAGTGAACCACTCTAACTGGACAGTGGTGGCACACATCTTTAATCCCATCACTTGGGAGACAGAGGCAGGTGGATCTCTGTGAATTCGAGGCCAACCTGGTCTACAAGAGCTAGTTCCAGGACAGGTTCCAAAGCTACAGAGAAACCCTGTCTCAGAAAAAAAAAAAAATACAGTGACACATTCTTAAGGAAAAATAGGACTGTTATTGGAGAGATGGACAAGAACTTTAGCTACACCACCTTTCAAGAGATTACATGTTCCTTAGTACACACAAAATCCACAGATCCAAAAGAGGGCAAAAACTATCAGGTCAGGGGTCACAGGCCTTGAACAGGACTTGTGATTATTTAACAGAGACTGAACTGAAAGGCCAGGCCTCATGGCTGTAACTCCAATGCTTGAGAAGCCAACCAAGTAGACAGCTACAAGCTTGGAGCCAGCATCGGTCACACACTGAAGACGCTGTCTCCAAGTGAAGCATAGGAATCCAGTGTAGCCAAGATAAACTCTTAAAGCCAAGGCAGGATTGCCATAAAGTCAAGGTCAGCTTGAGTCAGATTCTCTCAAAATCACAAATCACCTAGAGGGAAAATGGCCATCTAACCAGTAAGTTGGGCTAGACTGTGACAATTCCAGTCTGCTCTACTTACTGGTGCTCGCCTAAGGGTCTAACTCAAACCACACTATGTGTGTGATGCTCGCACACGAGTGTGTGGATGGGTGTGCCCACAGGAGCCCAACATTCTCCATCCTACTGCCCTGAGACAGAGCTCTCACTGAAACCCGTCACTTCATCTCAACCGCCAGCTGCCAAGCTGTGGATCTGCTCATCTCCCTCCACAATGCAGGAGATGCAGGTATGCATGACTATGCCGGACTCTGTGGGTTCAAGGGCTTTGAACTCAGGTCCGCAAGGCTTCAGAGTAAGTGCTCACTCACTGAACCATACCCCAGCAAACCCCTACTTTAAAGGGGGTGGGGAAGCACCACTTTGTACTGCACTCCTAAAATTAAACACAGGGCACTACGTAAAAGATGTTTACCAGCTGCCAAGTTCTCTCACAAGACACAAGCACACAGAGGAAAAGCGGCCCCAGATCCTACCTGGTAAGTGATGTCAGGCCTCGCAGGCTCAGCACTGCCACCTCCACTGAAGGCCCCAGTGACGGCATGACCCAGGGTGTGGCCCACTGCAGAGCCCACAGCCACACCAGCTGCAGTGGTCGCCATCTGGGCCATCAGGCCTGGCTGCCGGGGTGCAGCAGCAGGTGAGCCAACTGCAGATGGTGCAGTCGCTGTTGCTGGAGGATGAGCTGCAGGCGCTTGTCTGGGAGCAGGTCTCATCTGAGGGGCCCGGCTAGGAAAGAAAAGAACCAAACTCATCAGTTCCCAGTTCCAAATGGCTCTGGAAGTTACTGAAGAAGTGAACCAAGCCAGGTTCTGAGGCACACACCTGTAATGACAGCACCGGGATGGAAGAGACAGAAAAATCAACAGGCCAAGGTCACCCTACACAGTCATTTCTCCTTCTTCTACATTATTATTTTTTCAAAGAATAAAAACTTCAACACTGCCCTCTTTTCTTCCCCCCTCCCATATGCCCCTCCTTGACTGACTGCAAACTTTTTTTCATTAACTGTTATTAGATGCGTATATGTGTATACACATACATTCTTTTTGTTTGTTTTTGGTTTTTTAAGACAGGGTCTCTTTGTAGCTTTGGAGCCTGTCCTGGAACTCTCTCTGCAGACCAGGCTGGCCTTGAACTCCTGCTCTGGGCAATCCTCAGGTGCTGGTAGCTCCTGCTATAGGCTGAGCCTTCGGGTTTTCACCATACTTTGGCATATCTACTGTCATCCTTGTTCTACAGCGTGATTTTAAAGGATATTCTCCTCTCAAAAAATAAAAACAGGGCTGGAGAGATGGCTCAGAGGTTAAGAGCATTGCCTGTTCTTCCAAAGGTGCTGAGTTCAATTCCCAGCAACCCCATGGTGGCTCACAACCATCTGTAATGGAGTCTGGTGCCCTCTTCCGGTGTGCAGGCATACACACAGACAGAATATTGTATACATAATAAATAAATAAATATTAAAAAAACAAATAAAAACAAAAACAACCAACCAAAAATCAAATAAATGCCCTAGCAAAAACAAGAGCGAGCGCTACTTAGGAATCCTATACCAGCCTCACCCAGCACTGGGATTACAAGCATTTTCATCCTGCCTTGCTCATTTTAAATCTATCTTATTTTATGATTGTTTACATGCATGTATGTCTGTGTACCACCTGCATGCCAGAAGAAGCCTTTAGATCACCTGGACCTAGAGTTACAGATGGTTTTGAGGGGTCATGTGGGTGCTGGGCATCAAACCTGTGTCCTCTGGAAGGTCACTCAGTTCTCTTAACTGTAAAGACAACTTTCCAGCCTCCTTTTACATCTCTAAAACATCATACCAAACCCACGCAGGAAGGCTACCGAAACTGTTTCCAATTGCTGCATATAAACATTGATGTACCTCTTTAATCTTCTGTTAAGGTTTTAACAACCAAGCATATACTATTTTGTCCTCTTTGTAACGATTTTCATGTATCCACATGGCTCACAGTATCTTTTTAAAAAGTTATTACAATACTTCATAAAATCATAAACATTAAGAGTTAGAAAGGGGGGCTGGAGAGATGGCTCAGTGGTTGCATTGCCTGCTCTTCCAAAGGTCCTGAGTTCAATTCCCAGCAACCACATGGTAGCTCACAACCATCTGTAATGAGGTCTGGTGCCCTCTTCTGGTGTGCAGGCATACACACAGACAGAATATTGTATACATAATAAATAAATAAGTATTTTATAAAAAAAAAAAGAGTTAGAAAGGGCTGTGGTGGTGCACTTTAATCCCAGCACTCATCAGGCAGAGGCAGGAGGATCTCTGAGTTCACAGCCAGCCTGGTCTATAGGGTGAGTTCCAAGACAACAAATGCCACACAGAGAAACCCTGTCTTAAAACAAAACAAAACAAAAAAAGTTAAAAAGTAAGATGGAGAGATTGCTAAGACTTGCACACTGTTCTTCCACAGAGCACAAGTTCAGTTCCCAGCAACTCTTAACTGCCAACAGTGAAACTCAGATCTAAGCCACCTGACACCTCTGGCCTTCCAAGGCTCACATCCCTGCTTCATTTGCACACACCCATTCATAAGCAATAACAGCCTGAATGATTATTCAAATATTAAACAGCTGCTGCTTGTACAACAGTATTCCAAGCTGGGTAGTGGTGGCCTATGTCTTTAATCCCAATACTCAGGAGGCAGAGACGGCAGATCTCTGTAAACACAAGGCTGTTCCAGTACACAGAGTGAGTTTTAGGACAGCAAGAACTAGAGAGGGAGCAAACGGCTTTCATTTTATTACTCTATCAGTTTCAAATTAAATGTCATCGGATTAAAGAAGAAATATCATACAGCTATCGCCATAGAATCTAGTGCATCTCAGCCTTCCTAATGCTTTGACGTTTTAATACAGTTCCTCATGTTGTGGTGACCCCCCCAAAATAAAATTATTTTTGTTGCTACTTCATAACTATAATTTTGCTACTGTTACGATTGCAATGTATATATGTTTGGAGACAGAAGCTGGCTAACCGGGTCCTGACTCAAAGGTTAAGAATGGTTGCCAAGGTGTACTGAAACTTTAGGACAATTAAGGAGTCTTCCTAACCTAGCTAACTTCTGAAATAAGATTCAGAGCTTGGGGGGAGGGGAGATGGCTGATGAAATGTCTTACTGGAGAGTGGGGCTTGCTGCCAAGCCTGACAACCTGAGTTCGAATCCTGGAATCTACAAGATGAAAGGAAACAACTAATTTCCACCAGATGCCCTCAACCTTCACACAGGCTCCAAGGTACACACGCACACA